AATCTATCCCAGGTATTCAGTTACAGCAACAGAAAACAGATTAAGACAGCTCTCACCTGCTAAACACATTGCCTGGCCCATCACCTTAGAATCTTTTGGTAACCTTGTTCCAGACTTTTACCACTGCCCTCAACTTAACTATTAGATACTATTTCACTGGCGAACCATAACAAGGACAGCTAATTTGAGAGGTATCTGGCTGACACCAAAGATAACAGAATAAGACTAATTGTCTCTACAATCATATGGTTCTCTTTGGCCTTATCATATTATCGCGGGTACCCTGTAATTTCCCTGCATTGTCTAAGGGGAGTATATTAGTCCGTTTTCACACTGCTGATAAGACATACAAGAGACTAGGAAGAAAAAGAGATTTACCTGGACTTACAATTCCACATGGCTGGTTTGGCCTCTGAATCATGGTGTGAGGTGAAAATTACTTCTAACATGGTGGCAGCAAGAGAAAAATGAGGAAGATGCAAAAGTGGAAACCCTTGACAAAACCATCAGATCTCGTGAAACTTATTCATTACCACAAGAACAGTATGGGGGAACTGCCCCATGATTCAAATTATCTCCCACTGGGTCCCTCCCATAACACATGGGAATTATGGGAGTACAATTCAAGATGAGACTTTGGGGACACAGAACCAAACCATATCAAGGAGGAAAAAGAACTCCCTTTTACACTTTTTCCAGACCACAGACACTGCTGTGATTGATGATAGGTCACCCTCAACCTGACTGTGCTAAAAAAAAAAAAAAAAAAAAAAAAACTTAATAGCTGTTTCTTTGTACATTTTAGAAAGTAGCACCCCTTCTCAGGTCCTTTCTAGTACCAAAGACCCCTCACATTATACTCCCAAATTTTATAGACTTCTAAGAATTGGACCCTGAACCCAAGATAACAAAAGCTGTTACAGAGGTTGCTACAACCAAAAATAAACTTTCTAGTGTGGTGATGGCCAATCACATTACATGATTTGGAAATCATGTGTAATTTCCAAAACTTCTTGCTTCATTTGGATTAGCGAACCACAGAAAGTGAAAAAAATCAATCCACCTTAAAGAGAAGCAGTATGGCTCTATGTAGTTAATCTCAATGGTATCTGCAATAATTTACATGGCTTGGCTCTGGATAGGAAGCCTGGATGCATTCCTCCCTCCAATTTACCTTCCAGATGGCACTTATAGTTGTGACCACACTCATCTAATATTACAAAAGGAAAAGGAATGGTCAGATAAGTCCTGATAAAATCCTGACCTTTTACTTCAGGCTGATCCTTAGGCTCAGAGAAATACTAAGTAGGGAAGGAATACCGAGCACAGAGCCAATCTACATATATAGGAGAAGATGTGTTCACTTTTTTTTCTCTTTTTTGGGGTGGAGAAGGAGGACTGTTTCTGCTCCTCACATTCAGGGAAATTTCTGAGTATGAGATAAAGTAACAGAAACTTCAGTGACTACACATGACAAGCAATAGTCTTTGCAAAAATTGCTTGAAAAACTCTCAAAACAAATGGACTATATAGCCTTCAATGATCAACCATGTGGAACAGAGGAGAATCTAATTTCCAAAGTTACCACATAATAATAGTCAAATGCCCAATATTCAACAACAAAAAATAATAAGGCATACAAAAGGACAGGGACACATGATTTATTCAAAGAAGAAAAATAAGTTGATGAAAACAATTTCTAAGGAAGTCTGGACATCAAATTCACAATAATTTTTTAAAATAATTTAAAACAAATGCTTAAATATGTTCAGAGAGCAAAGGGAAGCCATGGGCAAAGAACTAAGGGAAACCAGGAAGACAATATATAAAAAATAGAATATCAACAAAGAGATAAAAATTATAGTCTGGGCATGGTGGCTCATGCCTGTAATACCAGCAATTTGGAAGTCAGAGGCAAGAGGATCACTTGAGTCCAGGAGTTCAAGAACAACCTGAGCAACATAGTGGAACCTCATCTCTACAAGAAAAAAAAAATGAAAAAAATTAACCAGGCACATGGTGGCACATGCCTGTAGTACCAGCTATTCATGAGGCTGAAACTGAAGGACTGCTTGACCCCAGGAGGTTGAGGCTGCAGTGACCTGTGATTGCACCACTGCAGCCTAGGTGATAGAGGGAGGAGGATGAGGAGAAGGAGGAGGGGGAAAATGAAGAGGAAAAGGAGGAGGAGGAAGAGGAAGAAGAAAAAAAATTCTGGGGCTGGAAAGCACATAGCTGAACTAAAAAAGTTCACTAAAGGAGTTCAAGAGCATATTCAAGCAAATAGAATAATCAAAAAAACATGAAGGTAGAACAACTGAATTATTGACCTAAGGGGGAAAAAAAGGATGAAGGGGATTGGAGATCAAGATACACATCATGGAGTCCCAGAAGCAGAAGAGAAAGGGGTAGAAAGATTTTTTGAAGAATTAATGGCTGCAAACTCTCAAACTTTGATTAAATACATAAACCTGAAGCTCAACAAACTTTCCAAGAAGCTCAACAAACTCCAAGTAGAATAAACACAAAAGGCCCACACAAGGGCACATTACAGATAGTCTAACTTATAATTGTTTGACTTACAATTTTTCAATCTTTTGATGGTGCAAAATCAATATACATTCAGTAGAAACAATACTTCAACGCAGTATTTATACATTTCATGAGATATTCAATACTTTATTATAAAATAGGCTTTGTGGGAGTGATTTTGCTCAACCATAGGATAATGTAAGGGTTCTCAGAACATTTAAAGTAGGCTAGGCTAAGCTAAAATAATCAGGTTAGCTGCATTGAATGTATTTTCAACTTACAGTATTTTCAATTTATAATGAGTTTATCAGGACACAACCCCAACATAAGTTGAAGAACATCTGTATAATCAAATGTCAAAAAACAACGACAAAGAAAGAATCCTGAAAGAATCAAGACAGAAGCAACTCTTTACATATAAGAGATAATCAATAAGATTTTTAATCAGAAATTTTAAAGACCAGAAGGCAATGGGATAATGTTTTAAAGTACTGAAAGGGGAAAAAAATCAATCAGGAACTCTTTATCTGGCAAACATGTCCTTCAAAAGTAAGGGAGAATTTAAAATTTCCTAGATATCAAAAGTAAAAGGATTTCATGACCACTAGACCTGTCTTATAAGAAGTGGCAACAGTAGTCTTTCAGATTGCAATGAAAAAAAAAAAATGGTAGGCCATTAACTCAACACCACATAAAGATATAAAATGTCCCAGGAAAGGAAAATACATTGGCAAATATAAAAGCCAATATTAATATAATTTTATTAATTTAACAAAGTTATTAATATAATTTTACTTTGTAACTCCACTTTTTATTTTAAGAAGGATTTAAGAAAAAATGTATAAAATAATTATAGATCTGTTGTTGGCCACACAACGTACAAAGATGTAATTTGTGACTTCAAAAATCAATAGCATAAAAAGAGGGAGATGATGCTGTATCTGAGTGGATTTTTTAATGAAATGGAAGCAAATTGGCATACATTTGAACTAAATTTGTGTAAATTTAGAATGTTATATGCAATTCCAATTGCAACCACAAAGAAAATATATACAGAATATACATAAAAGGAAATGAGAAAGGAATCAAAACATGTCATTACAAGACGCTAATAGAGGAAATGGGGGACAACAAAAGCTTCAAGACATACAGAAAACAAATAGCAAAGTCACAGAAATTGGTTCTTCCTTATCAGTAATGGCTTTAAATGTAAATGGATTAAACTCTCCAATCAAAAGTCAGAGACTGGCAGAAGAGATTTCTTACTTTAGATTTAATGAAACAAATTGGTTTAAATTGAAAGGATAAAAAAGATATTCCATGCAAATAGTAACCAAAAGTGAGCTGGGGTGGCTTAACTAATATCAGACAAAATAGACCTTAAGAAACTGTTACAAGAAAGAAGGACATTACATATTGATAAAAGGGTATTAAGAAGAATAACAATTATAAACATGGGTGCACAAAATATTAGTGCCCCCAGATATATGAAAAATTTTAAGAAAACCTAAATAAAAGTAAAGTCAGTCTGTGCTCATAAATTAGGAGATTTAATATTGTTAAAATGGCAATACTTCTAAAAGTGATCTACAGACTTAATACAATCTGTCGAAATTCTAATGACTTTTTTTGAGAAATGGAGAAGCCAATTCTCATATTCATATGTAATTTCAAGTCCTCCCAGGTGGGCAAAATAATATTGGGGAAAAAAACAAAAAACAAATTGGAGTACTCACACTTCCTGATCTCAAAATTTACCACAAAGCTACAATAATCAAGATAGTGTGGTAGTGGCATAGGAATAAATAAATTGACCAATGGAATAAAATTGAGAGTCCCATAAACCAATTTATGGGCAACTGATTTTCCACAAAGTGCCAAGGACGTTCAACAAGGAAAGAATAATGTTTTCAATAAATGGTGTTAGAACAACTGGATGTCCATATGCATGATGAAACTGAACTCCTCTCATAACATATACATAAATTACTTCAAAATCGATATATGACCTAAATATAGAAGATAAAGCCATAATACTTTTAGAATAAAATACAGGGGTAAATCTTCATGATTTTGGATTTGGCAATGTGGTTTTACATAGGGCACCAAAAGTGCAACCAGTCAAAGGAAAAAAAAATAAGATTTTGTCAAAGTAAAAAACTTTGGTGCATCAAATGATATCAATAAAGTGAAAAGACAAGTGACAATTCACTTCCCGAAATACTTAGCTTACACAATAAAAAAAAAAAGGTCAAGAATGGATGGGTTGACATTAGGTGGTGTAATGGAAAAATAATAACCATCTCTCACCCAGTTTTCATTCTTGAATCAGTTCTGAGACCCAGAGGTTATAGATAGAAGGGAAGAAGAACGTTTTTGTGGGCCTCCCAAAGCCATACCAAGTATATACAATAGCCAGTCTTTTAATATTTCTCCAAAAGAGACTTCTACTTCTATGCATTTACCAGAGGAACAGTATACTGGCAAAAAAGGAGTTATTAGATCTTTAGAATGTTTATATTCAGAGTATAATCTGACTGATACCAGGGAACCCAAAATGCCACAATTATGCATGTTATCAATGTACAAAGGCCAGATTTTAGAGTTCTCATCCAAGTCCATCTTAAAGTCCACAGTATACAGACACGTCCTGCAGTCTTTTACTCAGCCCACGAGTGAATAATTATAATGATAAACTTATCAGGCAGCAGACACTTCACACTGCCTCCTGGACTTCTGGAGTAAAAGCCATTAATTGTAGGAAAGGCTAGTGGTGCCAAATATGATTTCCTTTTGCCAGGCTAACTTGGTAAATCAGAAGCAATATCAATCCCAGATGGGTAATAATCATAGTTGTGCTAGTTACGCTTTTATTAGAAAAAAAAATAGCAATCTCTGGAGCTTAATATACAGCCATTAAACTGCAAAAGGATCCTTTTCAACTTCCCTGAATAAGACTCAAATGCAGTTCACTTTGTTTTGGACTGTACAGCAGCATATATTGTCTTGTCTTAGTCTTGTTAATTTTCTTGCCCTCTGTCAGTGTAGTACACAGTGAGTTCCACAAAACAACATCCTGGCCACTACATGGATGGCACATTAATGGAACCTGCTGAGGAAGAAGTGACAAATACTCTGCTTACCTTGGTAAGTAAAGTGTTTAGCAGAGGTTGAGAAAAAAAACCCAAAAACCTATTATCAGCATTTTGGTGTCTGGGACAAGGTTACACACTCCCTCCCCACCACCACTGGCAATGTTAAGATCAAGTTTTACACAACTTGCATCTCCTGCCACTAAAAAAAGGAAAAGTATTTGGAAGATCTGTTTACACATGAGGAAACACCAACTACACTTGGGAATATTGTTTTGTCCCACTTTCTGGGTGACTTGGAAGAAGGCCAGTTTTGAGTGGGGCCCAGAACAGAAAAGGGTTTCATAACAGGTTCCATCTGTTGTCCTTCATCAATGGCACAACATAACACTGTGTGGGGTTCTGAGAAGCCAAGATAGACAAGTCATAGCACAATCCTCTAGGATTCTGAAGCAAAACCATGCCATCTGCAGCAAATAACCTCTCACTGTTTCAAAAGCAGCTCCTGTGTACTGCTGGATCCTAGTACAAACTGAGGAGCTAACTTCGTGTAATCTAGTGACTATGTGACTACAGATGCCCATGGTGGGGGGTTGCTATCAGACTCACACCAAGCCATAAAACAGGCAGGGAAACAACAGTCTATTGTGCAACAAAAATGGTACAGTGGGAATTGGGCCTAAATAGGTCTCAGCAACTTAAGTAACTTATACAAATAGATGACCCATAGCACTTACCTCTGTCATATGACTACCTCTACTTCAATTCATATGGAGAATTCAATAAAGATCTTTCTCTCTCCGTCAAGAATGAACACCCTGTGGGAGTATTCCCTGCGAAAGAGTATCAGAGGAAAATCCTGGGCCTGGTTCTCTCATGATGGTTTCTTCAATAGCCACTAAAATTCCACCCAGGAATGTCCCTGAAAGATGGTGGTGTCGGGGGTAGGATCCAAGATGGCCATTTAGGAACAGCTCAGACTTGCAGCTCCCAGTGAAAGCGCAGAGGGTGAGTGGACACCGCATTTTTATTGCCCACAGACTAGGAAATTCCTAGGCAGAGGAGCTCCATGGTCGCCAGCATGGCTGTTTTTGCCAGCGCGGCTGTGCCGGCGCCGCTGCTTTACCCCCCGTGGCTTTGTTGGCGCCCCGGAGCAGCGGTTCTCCGTACAAAATACACCGGTCTGGGTGCCCTTTTGGCTGGCGATTGGAGCCACGGGAAGTCGCCCATTCGTCTGTTTAAAAAGGGGACTGAGGCTGGGCACGGTGGCTCAAGCCTGTAATCCCAGGACTGTGGGAGGCCGAGGCAGGTGGATCACGAGGTCAAGAGATC